GAATGTTGAGGCTAGCGTCGATTATGAAACTAAACCATACTGTATTTATACCTTTTGTATAGCAAGCCAACCCTAACCTTTCTAGGCCAACCAACTATACAAGGTTACTTGATTGCTTGTAGTGAGCCACTCAAACTAGACAGTATGCTGCTTTCTATTCATAATATCATATTGATCAATTTGATAATCATGTCGATTGGATTATGCTTTTATGACCCTTTAATCGGATATTTTGAAGGGTGTTTTTCAAAATGTTTGATCAAAGTGTAGATTCAACATTACAGTCTGATTGTGTGTCATGATGGTTGTTATAATCAAACACACAATGCAGTCAATGTGCAGTAACCATTGTATATTACAATGCAGAATACAAGCAAAATGAATAAAGTGAACCATTTTACATGAGTACGATTGTAAAAGTGTTTGCGATTACACAACACTCAAAGGGTGTGATTTCAACATACTTGATCAAAGGGTCGTAAAAGCATCATATGATTGACATGATCATCAATATTATGAATAACATTATACTGTGATTTGATATTGGCTCATCACAAAAACCAAATAACTCTGTGCCATGAGTTAACCTAAAAGGATTGACTTGATATACAAAAACACATACAATCGACTGCTTCGAGTTTCATAATCAACATCAGTTTCAATACTACTTTTGTACCAATTGTTTAAACCCATTGATCAATCTGATGAAATTGGTTGATATTTTACTCGTACTGAGTGCGACGGCAACCACTAATGCAATACTGATACCGACTGATAACAATAGTCCATCCCAAACATCAGGCACTTCCAGTCAAGTGTCTGGTCCAACTAATGAACCCAGTCCAAACACTTCTGACCAAAACTGGCAAAATATAGTTATTCAACCCGGTCTAAGCATCTCCGACAAATATTGGCAATACCTAATAGATGAAGTTGGTTCAGACACCCTCAATGACTGGAAAGAACTGTTTGATATAGCTGACTCGAATACTCCCAAAAAAGGTCAGCAACAGTCAATAGGTCAACCTAGTCCAAACACTTACAGCCAGGGTCAAAAACGTCCAACTGATAAACTTGATCCAGGCACTTCCGAAGAGCAATGGCAAGACATAATGGATCTAATCAATTCTGACACTTGCAAAAAAGGTCAGCAACAACCAGTAAATCAACCTAGTCCAAGTACTCCCAAACAAAGTCGAAAACAACCAACTGATAAATCCAAGTCTGGCACTACTGGCTTAAATCAAAAGACTCTATCGACCCAAGATCAGAACGCACTTGACTTGAAAGAAATCGAGACGTCTAGAGAAATACGAGAGAAATGCCAAGCCTATTATGATTATGTAACTATTGGATTGAAACAAAAGTCAGCGTTGGCAAGAGGCGAAAAGATATCTGAACCAAAGCATAAGCCAGAAATCCAAAATATATTGAGAGAAGAGTGTATTTCACCAAATGACAGAATAGTAAAGGCAAGACAACGATTGAAAGATTTGATGGAAAAGCAGAATCAGGAGCGGAATCGGATTTTGAAGATGCTTTTGAAACTCGAAGATTTTGAATAATTTTAGAGCTTTATTTTGTTGATATTTGCAAGTATTGTAAATGAACCAAAAATTATAATATTGATTTTGTATTGCATGTTTGTGTATATTGTGTTGAGTATTACATTGACAGTTATTGGATTGTTGATTGATACATTGACACGGTTTATTACATATACATTAATGACTTGATAACAACCAGTGTTGATTGTAACTATCAGTCAGACTTGCAATCACTTGTCAGTTGCATGATATCATCAACTGATCATGTCGTGTATTGTACAACAAACGTATCAATACACTTGTTCAAAGTCGGATGTAGATTGCAACATCAACTGGTTTGATATTGGTCAATTAGTGTTGTTTTATGACAGTTTACAATGTAATATATGTGGTGTGGTATTGATGGTGTT